TGGTGATTGGCCATTTAATTTAATTTCCCACGTGTTTTTCGTTAACTTTCCTTATCCACTTTTCCCCATATGTTTACTTAACGTTCCCGTCCTTTATCGATAAATTTTTAAACTGACTCAGGTTCCTTGCTGTTGCCCGTATTTCTGTGAGATTCACCACTCCTGTATGTGTCTTCGTTAACATTCTTATGCAACGACAAGAAGCAGCTGATGAGCTGTCTCGAAATTTGTTGATATTCACAATTGTTGATTCCAATGAAGACGCCGATGACCTCCTCAAATTTATGAATACTTTACATCCTAAAATTAAATTTACAATGAAAACAGAGCAGCATAAAAAGCTCCCATACCAAGACGTCCTCATGTTTAGAGAGGATGTAGGTTCCATAGGGCGCTCGGTTTTCCACAAAAAAAACCTGGAAAGTCAATAACTACACTTCATGAATTTCATGCCAATTCAGTGGAAGCGTAATCTGGTACATACCCTCTTTCAATGAGCAAGGAACATTTGCTTTAGTAAGACACTACCAGAAGAGCTTTCTCGTCTCAACTCAGCCCTACTCAACTGTGGCTACCCGGCACGCTTTATTCAAAAGTATAGCAATCCCCTACGGCCAAAATTTATGGAACTGTCAGTTCCAAAAAAGCCCGTTTTGATATCCTTACCTTTCAAGGGTGACAAAATTTCCAACACAATCAAGCGACTGTTACGCTGTTTGATAGAAAGGACCTACAACGCAGCAAAACTAGTCTTCCTTAGTTCAACTAAAAGTATTCCAGTAAAACGGGAAAATGATGCCTTGCCATTGCACGCCACCTCAAATTGTGTTTACGAATTCACATGCAATTCCGGATGCAAATACATTGGGCGTACGCAAAGGCAACTGGCATCCAGGGCCGCTGAGCACTTGCCCAAGTGGCTTTTGAAGCAAGAAGACAGAATACCAAGGTCCTCTATTACCATGCAACTTTCAGACAGCGGTCATTCTGTCGACGTCAAAACAGCGTTTCGAGTAGTTGTTCGGGCCCGAACAAACTGAATTCTGCGCTATTTGGAAGCTGTATACATACGGTAGGAGAAACCTGACCTATGCAAGCAGCTTGACCATGTTGTCAACCTCCGATTTCCCTGGTGATTTGTCATTAAATTTAATTTCCCACGTGTTTTTCGTTAACTTCTCTCATCCACTACTTCTCATATT